TGTTCCCACACATTGGTTTTATGGAGCAGCCGCGCGCATTTTCTCAACATCCCTGTCCTGTTCGATTCCTTCTTCAGGTGCGTTTGCTCAGGGGTTTTGCTTTGCCGAGGTGTTTACACCGAAGATGGTTTCTCTGCCCTCCTATCTCATCACATGGGTCGTAGTCGCCACGCCACGTGGTCAGCTCAGGAACGCCTGCCATCCAGGATCGTTGGCGGCAGTTTTCTTGATGTGGCCCGGTCATCCGTGAGTGGTTGGTGCGTGTCGCTCGACTTGGTGGGGAGGGGAAAGGGGAGAGCGGAGAAAACGTGGACCTAGTGGAGGGGGGGAGGGCCTCCCCACTGGTCCCTCAGCGCTGCCGGCGTGTGAAGCGGCGCCTGCTGGGCCGCGCGTGGCTGCGCCGCCGCGCACGCACCACAGGCCCAGCACAGGCCAGTTGGAGCCCCGGCCGCCTTGGAGGCGACGATGGGGGCGAAACCGCCCAGGGGAGGGCACCACACGTATTCTCCAGAGCCTCGCCGACGGCTTGGACTATCGGCGCTCCTGGATGAGGAGGTGGAGGAGGAGGAGGAGGAGGAGGAGGAGGAGGAGGAGGAGGAGGAGGGGGAGGGGGGGAGGGGAGGGGGAGGGGGAGGGGGAGGGAGGGGGAGGAGGAGGAGGAGGAGGAGGAGGAGGAGGAGGAGGAGGAGGAAGAGGAGGAGGAGGAGGAAGACAAATAATAATTATAAGAATAAGAAGCAGACGCGGACGCAGAAGCAGAAGCATAATAATAATGATAAGAATAATAAAAAGCAGAAGCATAAGCATAATCATAAGCATAAAAAGAAAAAGACGAATAATAATAAAAAGAAGAAGACGAAGACGACGAATATGAAGACGAATAAGAAGCCGAATAAGAAGAAAACGAATAAGAATAACAATCCGAAAACGAATAATAATAATAATAATAAGCAGCAGCATAAGCAGAAGCAGAAGCAGAAGAGAAAGCAGAAGCAGAATAAGAAGGAGAAAACGAATAATAATGATACTAATAATGATACGCAGAAGAAGAAGCATACTAAGCATAGTAATAATAAGAATACGAAGAAGACGAAGACGAAGAAGCATAATAATAAACATAATAATAAGCATAATCATACTACTAAATATGATAATTATAAATATCATAATAATAATATTATTAATAATAATAATAATAAGCCGAATAGTATTAATAATAATAATAATACGAAGACGGAGGATAATAATAATAATAAGATTAATAAGAAGAAGAAGGATAATAACACGAATACTAATAATAATAAGAATAATAAGAAGAAGCCGAAGACGAAGAAAAAGAAGAAGGAGAAGAAGGAGAAGAAGAAGAAGAGGAGGAGGAGGAGGGGAAGGGGGAAGAGTATTGTCCCCCCTGGGTTGTTCGCCCCCCATCGCCGCTCCCAATGCTCGGAGGGTGCCGGAGGCGTTCCTGGTGAAGGTGCTCCCGAGCTCTTCGCGCCGCTTTGGAGTCTGGCCGGCTCCTCCTCGGCCTCGTGCGGGATGCTCAGGAGGGCAGCTGGGCCTCCCTGGAAGAGCTCGGGTCACCTCGGGCCGGGGCCGCCTCGGGCAACACCAGAGCTTCTCCCCCTGCATCCCCTTCTCTGCCCTAGCCTGGCCGCGTGCCCGTACTTCTCTGGCTAGTTTTGTTGTTGTTGTCGTCGATTCTCCCGCCCCTCCCGTACATATGGTGCATCTTCTTTGGAAATGCCCCTTCCAGGCGCTCGCAATATGTTCCCCAAGCAGTGCTTTCACTTCGGGGCTTTTGTTTTTTTCCTGAGGAGCTGGGCCTGCGGGGGCGGTCGTGCGGCTGTGTAGCCGCCTCGTCGCCGCCCGTCGCGTGGGCCTGCGGGCCGCTCTGGCCGCCATGTCGCCGCCTCGTCGCTTCCTCGTCGCTGCCCGCCGCCTGGGCCTGAGGGCCGCTCTGGCGGCCATGTCGCCGCCTCGTCGGCGCCCTCTTTGCATTGCTTGGCGTGGCGATGCATTGCTTCGCGTTGCTTTACATTGCTTGGCATTTCTGTGCATTGCTTTGCAATGCTTTACGCTACTTTGCGTTACTCTGCCGAGCGTTGCACGATTGCATTGCAATCGCCTTGTTTTGCAATCGCATTGCATTGTACTGTTTTGGATTGATGTGCATTGCTATGCCGTGCTATGCTGCGCATTGCGTTGCATGGTTGTTCATTACGTTGCATTGCTTTGCGCCACATAGCTTGCACCACATGGACTGCACCACCTAGATAGCATACCATTGATTGTACCACCCAGTTGCACCGCACATATTGCAATAAATCTTGTTTTTGGGTCCATGTTGGCTACAGTTTTCTTACGAGGGGAAAGATGCGCTTCAGACTGGGTGGTTGGCCCCTGTACTACAACAACAACGGCTCTCTCCTGATACTGACTCACAATTTCTTCGAAATCGCGCTCTCGCGCCGCACGGCCTCTCAATGTATGCCAAGATCCCGCTCGTGCATGGGACATCCTTGCAATTATTTCTGCGCCGCGCCCTCGACACTCAGGAGTCACGCTCCCGCTTTGGACTTTCTCGCGATTGACTTGGGAATTGCGCTATCACTCTAGACTTCTTCGCAATGCATGCAGGACTGACCCTTCAACGACCCGCCCGCTCGACGCGGCTGTTCGGGCCCGTCCGCCCGACCCGATCGTCAGGGTATGCCCAGCCGACCCACCCGTTCGGTTTTACCCACTTGTCCTCCTGCTCCTAACTGCCGGTCGGCTGTGTCCTGTAATTGTGCTGTTCTCTATGTTCCGCACTACCACGCGCTGATTTCGAGGTCCGACACAGCGATGCCAGTATTGCAGGGTTTGCCATGGGGGCGAGGCGACTCAAAACTCCACGTGCTCGATTATCCCGCTTTGATGGTTGTCCTCGGCCGCTTTGTTCCGCTCCTTCTTCTTCCTTCGTTCTCCTTCTTTGGTGTTTCTGGCTTTGAGTGGATATGCATCTTCCCGCTTCTGCCAGAGAGCGCCAACGAGTTGGCATCGCTAGCGCTATTGCATCACCTCGTGCGTATCCCCTATCACCGATTCTAACATCGTCGTGGCCTCCAGGATTCCGACAGCGTGCAGCCTCCGAAGCAGGGCTGCCCCAGGCTTCGCGACATCGTCCTTCCATGTCGACGCATATTCGCAGACGGCGACGACGTTTATACTGCCCGCTGTGCGCCTCGCCCGCGCGCGTGGCCGAGGGGCGGCAGTTGCGCCTCGGGCGAGATCTGGTCATCGAGAACAGAAGAGAAAACCCTAGCCCTGATAGCGGGGGCGGCAAGGAGGGGGGTGATGACCAGGGCGGTGGTGAATATCATGGCGGGGGTCATGGCACCTCCCCAGATTTCATGGCGCCTCTTCTTGTTTTAATGCGTTCCCGGCCCCTCCCCCCTGGGCCGCGCACATGGCGCCGGCCATGATTTGCGCACCCCCCTCTTGGACGCTGAAGGCGTGGCCTAAGTAAGGACCCCTCTTCGCATGATGGATAATAGATTTGGGCGGTTTGGTCCCACACATCTGCAGAACAGACCCGCTATCCCTTATGTTCCTGGCCCTCCTAGCTCAGGTCCCCTCCCAAAAGGGTAGGGGCCCTTTTATTGCTGATCATCGGGGACTTTGGATACCTTCCCTTACTCGTTGCCGCTGCTGCTGTTTATTTCCCCCCGCCCCCTCAGCTGACTGCAATTCCTCCTTCCGTCCTGCGCCTCCTCCTTCCTCCTATTATTATGAAGTCGGGCATCCCCCACTACATGAGGAATATGTAAGAATAGTTAAACCATAATCCGATGACTGTGTTTCGTGCTCGTTTGATTATTTGAGACTATTGTTTGATTGTTTTCTATCTTCGTTTCAAGAACCCGGCTGTACGAGGACATGCCCGACCTAATACTATGAGTACTACGATTGTCTCTCACTCGAGGACGCGTTGAGAGCATCGCGCCACCTCCGCGCATCGTTTTTTGTTGTTCACCAGCTCCAGAGACGTTGATCGTTCTTATGTGTGCTGTCCCAGCTCGCACGTTTCCAGTCCTTCCAAAACATGGTTCCGCTGCAGCATAGGCTCCATGTTCGCGGTGCTGCCGCTGCAGCAGGGGCCTCGTTTCTTCGTTTACGGTCCGTCTCGATGGTGTTCTTGCTGATCCGTTGGCCTCATTTATTGTTGTCGCCATCGTTATCCTAGTCCTTCTCTTTCGTCCTCGTCGTCGGTCGTCGGGGCGACACTCGGTTTTTATGACCCAGGAAGGTCGCGCCGTTCCCCAATGTGGTTCGCTAGCGGATGTTCAACGTGACGTCGGCTCGGTTTCTCGCGCATGGCGTTGTTCGTGCTATGCTTTGATCTGCAGACCTGTGACACGCTGTACGTTACAGTGCCATGACGTGACATGCGATGCAATGCCTTGTTATATACCGCTATGCGATGTCATGCCTTGCTCTGTAATGCCATGGTATGTACTGATGGGTTTCGTCATGTCATATCATGCTGCACAATGCAGTGCCGTGGCATGGTATACGATGCGATGCTGTGTCACGTTCCGCTGAGCGATTCCCAGTCTGACTCTGCAGTGCTGCGGTATGCAATGCATGGCTACGCAGTGCCATACCATGCTATCTTGTGCAGCTCCGTGCAATGGCATGATAAGCAGTGTTCTATCGAGCACCGCTATGCCATGGCTTGCCATGCCTTGCTACGCAATGCTATGATATGCAATGCTCAGCTAGGCCATGCTCCGCTCTGCCGTGCTCTCCGTCGCCATACCATGTTGTGCGACGTTCACACTTTCGGAATAGATGTCCCCTTCGACACCCCATTCTGCGAATAGCGAGGGGCTCTACGCAATGGGAAGGGATGGGTGGGAGGGGTAGGACGTCAGACATGGCGCGATCGCACCTTGATTGCCCTCCCCCTCCCCCTCCCCTTTCCTTCCCCTCCCCCTCCCAGAGCACGCGCCGGCAGCGGCGAGGGAGGCTCGAGCCTCCGGTTTTGTGCCGTCGCCGCCCCAGGCCGCACGGGGGGCCCCATGTCGTGGCGAGAGGAGCCGACCTTCAAGAAGCCGCCCGCGCCCGCCGAGAGAACTCGAGACGGGCCTTTGTTGCCGAGCGCCGTTTGCCACGTCTGGTGGCCCTCGCTGGGCCCCGGGGCCGTCGAGCGACGGCCCCGCGGGGCGACAAGCCGGTCCCGGGAAGCGGTCCAGAGCTCCAGGTGCTCCGTGCTGAGGTCGGCATGGCCGTGGTGGGCACGGAGGAGCCGGGGGCGATCGGACGGGACTAGGCCGAGGGCAAATCCGTTCCAGAGCGTTCCGGATCGCTCTCAGAGCGTTCCGGAACGCTCTGAGAAGGTCGCGGCGCCCGATGGATCTTCCAGAGCCGCCGGACCTCAGAGATTCCCGATTCATCCTTTCCTGGATTTAGCCTCGTCTTGGCTTCTTCGTATACGATGCCCGATGTCAAAAATTGGCAGCGGCTGCTGTTGGACAGGCGAGTTTGTTTCTCAAAGGGACCACGCCCGCGGCGACACAGAAGGCGAATTCTGTTCGAATGGACAGGAGTTGCTGCGGGTCTGCGCCACCATGCTTTCCGTGCCCATTTCGGCCGTACCGATGAGAGAATCAAGACGTAGGATTAAGTCGGGCATGTCTTTCTACAAGAGGAATATTCAAGAATAGTAGCAAAAATTGTCAGGTGACGATTTTCCGTGCTCTCTTGGTTATTTCTTTATTGTTTCATTATCTTTCATCTTTCTTCCAAAACCCGCCTGCAGGAGGACATGCCCGACCGAAACATTGGAAATCTGGGTGGTCTCGTGTGTCTTGGCGAGGGGATCGGGGGGGCCTGGAGCAGGGGCAGTGCGCTCCAGAGCGTCCCGGAGCGGTCTCGGAGCGGTCTCGGAGTGTGCCTGGCCGCTCTGGAACGGCCGCGGCTCCCGCTTCACCTTTCCAGGACCGCCTGATCTCAGAGGTCCCCGATTGATCCTGGTCCGATGTTGTCTCCGCCCCAGGTTCGTCCCCAGACCCCCTGGCGTTGTGACAACAATTTCGACGGGAGGTTTTTCAATATTTTGGGCCTCCTGGGGCCTCCACCAGGCTTCGGGACCGTCAAAAAAAAGATTCAGGATGACATCCAGTCCCCAGGAAGGGATCCAGACCTTGGGGGGTCGACGTTGTGACACAATCACGACGTCGGGGGTCTGAGTTTTTGAGGAGTCGACCTTCAAGAAGTCGTCCGCGCTCACAGACGAGGAGAAGGAGTACCTCAAGCTGGCCAAGAAGCTCCGGGACGTGCTGAAGCTGGAGGAGCGGGCCAATGGCGGGGAGAAGTTGGAGACGCTGCAGCAGGAGAAGGTGGCCTCCAAGGGCGCCATGCTGAAGGAGGTGGTGGCTCTCGCCGTGAAGCTTAAGCCCGGTACGGATGTGCTGGACAAGACCCAGGACGCGCCGAAGAAGACGAAGCGGCATGATTTCTATTTTTTTGAAGGTCCGGGCGGCTCTCTTGGATCTGGGGGCCCTCCCCGCGGCACTTGCCCTCTGCCTCTGCCACCCTTCTCCGACCTGGCCCTGTGCACTCCTGGAAGAAGAAGATGCAGAATGGTTGGAACACCTCGCGGATCGACGACGCCGACCACGACGACGACGCTGACGATCTCTTGGATCGTTCCTGGGGCCCCCCGTGCGCCCCCGGCGGTGCCCCTGGCGCGCTCCGCGCGCCAAGGAGGGGGTCAGCGCCGAGCCCAGAAGTCCGCGCAGGCCTCTGGAAGTGCATGCTTACCCGGTGCTCGTCGTGTCGGCAGGCGCCGGCCCCGCCGCCGGCGATCACCGTCGAACGCCGCCGCCGACCCAGACTCGGTCGACGCTGAACGATGCAGCCTTTCGGAAACGGCCGATCGTTCGAGGTTGAACGATCACGACTCGAACCTGCCGTGTGCCGTTTTCTGTCGTTGTTCCCTTGACGGTCATGATGAGTATATGCCTGGATCTCACGGCCCCCTCCTTCAGCACGTCCCCTGGCTCCCCCCCCCGTCGTCCGCTCATTTGCCTCGGAGAGTGCTGTACCGAAGTCCGGCATGTCCCTCCACAGGAGGAATATTCGAGAATAGTCAGAAAATAGTGTGGTGACGGTTCTTTGACTATCTGGGGGACTGTTTGAATATTTTTTGGCTCTGTTTTATTTTCCTTCCAGAATCCGCCTGTAGGAGAACATGCCCGACCTAAACTTATACGTCATATTTTTTCGCGCTGTCGACGCCCAGACGTCCCGACCCATTCCCCGAGACCAGTTTGTCATCCCGAGTCTTCTTTGAACGGGTCTGGCGAGGTACCCCAGAGCCCGAAAATTGCCCCAAAACATGTCTTCCGTGACGCGAGGGAGTCGCCCACCTTTTGGGATTTTGTGATCATCCTCTGGCGCGTAACAGTCGTTACCCGCCCTATCCCCCTGGGAAAATGTGTAGGTAACGATCGTACTTCGGGAGTGGGCCTGGCCCCCCGCACATGCTGGTGCTCGCCCGCACATGGTGGCAATCGCAGCGCACCCCCGCCCCGACTTGCCCCACCGCGCCCAAGCGTTACTGTTACCCAGGGCCCCAAACCTCCCACACACCCCTTGGGTAGCGGCCGTTAGCCGAACAAAGAACAATCTCCCTGGACGCCCCCCCTGCAGGACATAGCCGACCTCCTGCCGCGCGAGGTGGTCGAGAAGATCGGGCAGAAGCGCGAGCAGGACCAGATCAAGCGCGAGCAGAGGGCGGTGCGCGAGGACGGGCGTGATCCGTCTCTCTGCGCGCCCGTGGCGAGGCCGCCGCCCTCTCCCGCCGCAGGGCCAGAGGCGTCGACGGAATTGGTGGGTATAGCCGGGACCCCAGGTAACTTCAGAGGGTCTTCAATGCTGCCGGGGCTCCCCCACCTTAGCTTCCGTCTGGCCATGAAACTCGCCCTTCCCTTCCTCGTCCTTCCCCTCATCGTCATCACCATCAGGGATCCTCATACCACCCGGTCATCAGCGGTGGCCGCCGCCGGGGAAGAAGTACTGTCCCACTAGCGTTGGAGGTACCAATCCGCGCAAACATATTCAATCATTCAGGGGTATTGGACCCTGTTAAAAAAAAGCTTTGTGTTCTGGAAGCCCCCAACATAGACCAGGATCATCAAACTTGGTTTGCAGTAGTTGGTGTTCCTTCGGTGGGCGACAGTTCCATTCAGTGGAATGGGGCGGGGTGGGTCTAGGCTTTCCAGGTGGGTTCGGAGCAAATGGGGTCGGAGGATCGCGCCCTGGAGACGGCTGGTGGTTGTGGTGGTGGTGGCTGTGGTGGTGGTGGTGGTGGTGGTGGTTGTGTGGTGGGTTGGTGGTGGTGGCGGTGGGTTGAGGCGGTGGTGGTAGTGGTGGTAGTGGTTATCGTCGCTGCGTCCCCGCCGTCGCCGGCGCCAGCGCCGGCGCTGCTGGCCGCCGCCAGCGCAGGCGCCGGCGCCAGGGGGTGGGCTGCCTTTGGTCATCGTCGTTGTGTCCCCGCCGTCAGCGCTGCTGGCGGCCGCCGGCGCCAGCTCCGGGGGAGGGGTTCAACCCCCCCCCTTGGGAGGGAGTGGGGGGAGGGGGGGGGAGAGGGAGTGGGGGTTGGGGGGGGGCGGATTCCCCCTGGTTTTGATCGACGGCGCCGAGTGTTGGGGGGTGGCCCACCCCCCGGTTCGAAACGCGCCGCCGAATGTTCCCAAGGCAAGCGCCCGTGAAACGCGTTCTCGTATGTAAACATGTTGTTTATTTCTCCTGCTTCTCATCCTCCGCCTTCTCCTCTTTTCTCCTCCTCATTATCAATACCCTCTTCCTTTCCTCTTACATGTATGTGTACGTATATATGTATATCCACATATATATATACATGTATATATATATATATATATATAGATGGTTGTGTTGCTAATCCTCCTCCTTACTATTATTCTGGACAGTTTGTTGAATCTTTCGTTACCCTCGGAGTGCGTGGCGGCTGATAAGAGTACGCTCGACCGTGCTCCTGCGACCTGTTGTGCCCGCGCCCTCATCCGCACGCGTGCCCGTCCTCCTCTTCATTCCCGTCGTGCTACAGACACCCCACATAGTAAGGATGAACAACTTTCTAAGGTAACCCTTGCATCCTTCCCCGTCGGCACATCCTTGGCCGCTTCCGCTAGCCGCGCCCCGCTCGTAAAGAGTCGACATTGCTTTCCAAGGTCCTTGCAGCCTTATCGTGCCTTCTTATTAAACGGATTTCCTGTCTTATTTCTCCTCTTCATAATCACACATGCTCCATCGCAGGAGAAGGAGCGCAAGAAGCCCGAGTTCATGACCCGCCACGACAGGCCGATTCGTGCCGTCGTCGCTTCCAGGTGTGGTCGGTATGCAGGATGCCTGACGGCCCGACCGGTTGACAGGGACGGGACGGGACGATAGAAGAGGAGATGGGAGGATCTACCACAGGATAAGAGGAGAGGATAGAGGAGAGGAGAGGAGATAGGATCGGAGAAACAAGGGAAGAGGAGAGAGAAGGAGGGGTAGAGCGAGAGAGAGAGAGAGAGAGCCACGCTGCGGGACAGGAGGGCCGCGGGCCAGGCTGGCCACGTCATGGCGGCCGGCGGGGATGCCCTGGGAGCAGTTGGGCAGGTGTCCCGTCTTCTGCTCCCCGTGCTGCATGCTTGTCGGGATCGATGCCTGGACCAGTCGAGAGGTAGAGAGAGAGAGAGGGAGGGGGGGAGGGTGAGACGGAGTGAAGGAATTATCGATACTAGTCAGGCGGAGAGAGAGAAAGAGAGAGAGAGAGAGGGATGGGGGGAATGTTTGATGGGGTCAGGAGGGTGAGGTGGAAGGCATCAACGAAGAGTACAAGTAGGTGGTTCGGATGATGATGAGGAGGAGGAGGACGAGGAGGAAGAGGTGGAGGAGGATATTTGAGGAGGAGGAGGAGGAGGAGGAGGAGGAGGAGGGGGCAACTAAGGGGATCTGCCCCCTGCTCACTCTCCTCCTGTTCTCCATCCTCCTTCCCCGCCCCCCCCATCCCCCCTTCCGGCCCCCCCGATGCCCCCCTTCCGGCCCCCAGGGGGCGCAGTATGAGCCTTCTCCCCCCCCCGTCCTACGGGTCCCAGAACGCGATCCTTGCCAGGGGGCGCAGTATAGAGGACGCAGAGGAAGAGACATCTCCCCTTACTCTGGCGCCGCTGGCCAGACTCGCTGTTGGCCAGCGGTTCTCTTCACCTGCTCCAAAGACAAGTACATCATCTGCTGGTCTTTGAAGGAACGCGATCGATTTCCGATTGCCTTGGCGGTCTAGGGGCGGCAGGGGGAGGGGATCGGATTGGTTGAGGGTGAACATGCATCGCCCGACTGCGTTTTTGGAACGCTCTCCAGCGGCCGCGGCGCCCGAGACGTCCTCCAGACCAGGCCGGCTCTCAGAGGTTTTCGCTTCATCCCGATCCGAATTTGTCTGCGCCTTGCCTCCGTCTTAGGAGTCGTCGTCGCCCTCAGCCCCTGGAGTCAGGAGGCCGCGCGAAAACTTGATGAAGGGCACTTGAATATTAACTTTCTGAGGTCCGCGCAGATTCCTCGTATCTGAGTTGGTTTCCTTTTGCGGCGCCTCCACCATGCCCCTGTCGCGCTCCGCGCGCCAGAGAATGGGGTCCAGCGCCGATCCAAGAGATCCACCCACACGTCCGAAAGTTTATGTGTGTCGCTGGTTTTTTCCGAAACAGCTGGATGGCGCGGGAAGACCTCCCAATGTCCCCAGAGGATTCAGTGGGTCCTGGCTGGCGTGAGGGTTGTGGCAGTTTTGCCCCGCTATCTGCCCGCAGCGAGGAACCACCTTTGTGATCGTCATCATTCTAGGGATGCTCGGTTAGATACGCCGGATTATTTCCCGAATATGGAATTATTTGTTACGAAGAATTCGACCCTGCCTAACGCGTGGCGGTTATCAGCAGGCTCTCTCAATACGCAGATCCTCGGGGCAGGGGGTCCGCAGTCGCCACAGATCGTCGGACCATGCTCGGCACGCACTCTCACAACTCACATCACATTGGGCAAGATCATGGTGAATGCGCCGCGGAGAACGAGGGTGGGGCAGAGAGAGAGAGAGCAGGAGGAGGGATATTGAGAGGAACGATTCTTCGAAGCGACGCCTCGAGGTTGCGGCCACTGGGGCCTTCTGTGGGGCTCCCTGTGGGACCACGAAACGTGCGAGGGCTGCGCCGCAATGGGGCGAGTCAACACGCGGACTCAGCCATCGTGGCTTTTTGTGGAGATTCTGTGGGGCCACGACGCGTGTGAGGTGTGCGCTGCAATGGGGCAGGTCATCATGTGGACACAGCCACTGGGGCCCTTGGCGGAGCTCCCTACGGTGCAACGAAGCGTGTGAATGGAGTGTCGAATTTGAGCGGGTGCCTTTGAGGACGCAGACATTGAGATCTTCGATGGAGTTCTCTATGCGGCCACGAAGCGTGCGCAGGGTGCGCAATGGGGCGGGCCACCATGTAGACGAAGCCACTGGTGCCTTGTGTGGATCTCCCTATGGTACCATGAAGCGTGTGAGTGGCGTTCGGACAAACCTGGCTGGTTATTATGCGGATGCAGCCACTGGGGCCCTCGGTGGAGCTCCTTGTGGTGCAAAAACCGTGTGAGCGGTCGGCCTCAATGGGGGTCACCATGCGGACGCAGCCACTGGCGAATTCAGTAGAGCTTCCTATGAGGCAGCGACGCGTGTGAGGTGTGTGGCGAAACGGTTATGAGAGAGATTATGGTGGTAATGAGTAAGGAGTATGAAAATGATGGTGTTTACGCCGACGATGATGAAGACAAGGATGGTGTTGATGACAACCACAAGGGGACGAGGAAAGGAGATGGAGGATAAGATGAGTTGGAGTGCGGTGCTGCGGGTTCACCTTCAGGATTTACACACAGGAATTGTGGGAACAGCATGAGGCTGAGGAAGAGGTGGAGAGGGAGGGGGGAAGGAGGAGACGGTGGGGCGCAGCGTTGCGAACTCAAAACGAGGGCCCAACACACAGGAGGGTCAGGAAACACTGCAGAAACCATCGTCGATCCAGGGAGTCCGCGCGGAGCTCCGAAAGTCTGTGTGTATGCTGGTCTCTTCTCCTCTATCTACAGTGTTTCTTCGCCCTGCGAGGCCAAGCGCGATGGCCTGGCAGCGTGCCCCCCGCCACCTGGTCGGCACGGCCGCCGTCCCGCGTGCCACTGCGGACCCCGCGCTCTCCCGTGCACAGAGTCCATTCCGCTCTAGCTCGGTGCTGGGTCTGGCCAGCCCGACTCCACTCGGTTCCGAGCATCGTGCGATCCAATGCTCCCGATATCTGCGTGACACGACCGACCCCAGGGACTATCCTCCCGTCTTTCCTCCATTTTTTTTGTTGCGCCTTTGTCTCGCATTGCCTGTTGTCCAGACGCCAGATTCCTGGGGCCACGGCCTCGCCCACCCGGTCTCGAGCAGGCCCGGACGCTGTCCGTAACGGTGGTCTCATCGCATCGCATGCTGTGCATGCGGGCGCCGCCGATCCGATCCGATGCCGAGGCCGAGCCCATGCGGTCCGACCCGATGCGCGTTCCGATCCGACCCGGCGTTCCAGTGCGATGCCGACGGTGTCTGCCGTGAGCTCCACGGACGCGTCGGCATGCCGCGCCCCTCCCTCGGCGCACCCGCGTTTCGTGCGGCTTGCTCACTCCGCCTCGACGGCCCGCGGTGCGAGTGGCCCAACCGCCTTACGTGCGGTCGGATCGAGGTTCTTTTGTCTCAGGTCCGACCGTAGCTGGTGAACGTTGGGCGGCGTTTTGCACAGCTTGCCATTCTGGACAAAACGGGACAAAGCGGCAGCCCTAACCAGAACACGCACGGGAGAACAACATGGAACCGAACCGAAAACGGCGCGAACGAGAATCCGAACCCGGAACCAAGAACGGGTCCCAGAACGGATAAGCAAGTTGATCTTGGAAACGGAAAAGCGTCCCCAGCGGTTTTTACATCTTTTCAGGGCCCTGCCCCCCCCCCCCCCCCCCGGAGGGGCCGCAGCAGATAGCGCTCGGCGCGGCGCCCTGGGCGCCGCAGTGCTTCAGCCGAAGATTGCCGAACCTTCGGGGGGGGGGGAAATGTCTAGGGGTTCGGGATTTCAGACACGATGTTCTGATGTTTCGTGAGGTTCTCGGCGGCTTCCCTGCCCAGGGATGCTCTCTCCAGCGCCTGCGCCTCGCCGAGAGTGTTCCGGGGATGCCCGGATCGTCCCGAGAGGGAGCCGGAGAGCCGAGCCATGGCCCGATAGCCGCCGCCGCCGTCTCCGTCGCCGCCTTCGTGCTCTTCCCTTGGAAGGATAAGCTCATGTCAGCCATGGTGACCTTCGCCGGGCACACGGGGGCCGTCTGGGACATCGACGTGTGCGAGGCGTCGCCTGCTGGGCCGTGCAGGCTCGGAGCCCAATGTGAGGGGAGGCGGGGAGGGAGGACAACGGCGGGAATGAGCAGGCCCGCTCAGGTGCCCCAGGCCTGGCAGCTTTCAGCGGCGGGGCCGCAGTCCTCCTCCCTCCTCCTCCCTCCTCCCTCTTCCTCCCTCGTCCTCCCTCCTCCCTCCTCCTCCTGCTCCTCCTCCTCCTGCTCCTCCTCCTCCTGGAGACACTGTTTTGTTGATGTGCAGCCAAAGCGGCTGGCAAGGATGAGCAATTTTCTAGGTTACCCTTGCATCTTCGTCCCTTCGGACCATTCTTGGCATCTTTAGCTGGCCAACCCCATTCGAAAAACGTCAACATGGCCCTCCAAGACTCTTGCATCCTCACCGCTCATCCTTGTCATGCGTTTTGACTGCACGCTCGGCCCAAAGCTGGGGGGGCCACAGGCTTCCATCGATCGTGCAGAATGGAGCAGTGGAGAGGCCGAGCTCGAGCTGTCCAATGTCCAGGGTCGAATACAGAGCTGTGGATAAGCCTCGAGCGGAGCTTCTGCGTATAGAATTTTCAATCGGGGGTCCATCTAAGGCAGTGCGGTGCCATCCGCCCATGTCCCGCGCAGGGCCAGGGGCCTCCGGACATTTGGTGTCTGTGTGCTTGTTTGTGGGTCTCTTTGTTTCTAGATGAGCAATGCCTGAAACAAAACGGGGAGGAGAGGGAATAAGAGGGAGAGATGGAACACAGCGCGACGTCGAGGACCTGAATGATTGTGGATAATCCGCAGGGCCGAACATGCTCTGCATAGATAGCTTGATTTGTCTGCTGAGCTTCGATGCGGAGTCGTTTCGACATCAAGCTGTTGAGCTAGATGTAACCGATCATACGGCATATGCGCGATGTTGTATAAGTTTACTTGCGTGGGTACTTTGGGCGATCGAGTCAAGGACGATCTCGATTCGACCAGGACTGCTTCGAGCATGTTGCAGCTCTAGTTTCGGTCTGCTGCCTCCCCAACGCGAGGATGTGCTGCGATCGTGTTTTGAGGTCGCTTCTTCGGCAAGGGAGGTACTGCGCTGCAGAGTGCAGCATCGACCTCCACCCCTCTGGATCGGGGTTGTGGATCTGCTTCACGATCTCTTCTCATTTGGCTCGTGATGCGAACGGCGAGCGCGCGAGTTACGACCATCTTGATGTTTTGAGGGACGAGTTGGTTTGTTGCGCTGTTGCGCTAGAGTGGAAGAGGACGTCCGCCCCTACAGCGGCGCCAGGGAACCAGTCCTCTGTCGTCTGCACTGGCACGCTGAGGCTTGTTTCCTCCTCCTCCTCCTCATCCCTGTCCTCCTCCTCCATCTCTCTTTCTTCCCTCTCCCTGCCCCTCCCTGCTCCCTCCTTCCTCCCTCCTCCCTCCCTCATTCCTCCCTCCCCCCTGCCCTCCTCCCCCCCTCCTCCTTGAGGGAGGGGGAGGCTCCTTGCTCCTTCTGGCCCTCGCTCGTTCGCCTGTCTCGGGCCATCGTTCGGTCCTGTTGCTGCCTGGGAGTTGGCGCTTGACTCGAACCCAAGACCGAAACAGCAAACGTCCCTCCTCCCTCCTTCTTCCGCTTCCTCCCCCTCCTCCTCCTCCTTCTCCTCCTCCTCCTCATCATCATCATCATCCTCCTACTCCATCCTCCCTCCTCCGCCTCCTCCTCCTCCTCCTCCTCCTCCTCCTCCCCTGCTCTGTCTCGCTCCCCTCTTCGCTCTCCCGCCGCCCCGTCACGCTGGCACGCCCGAGGCTCGTCTCGGGTAGCGCCGATGGCAGGGTCAACTTCTGGAATGCGGACACCAAGAAGCGGGGAGGGCAGGGCAGAGGAGGAGGAGGAGGACGCAGGTGAGAGTCGGACGATGCCAGGAAGAAGATACATCCGTTCCAGAGCGTTCTGGAAAGCTCTTAGAGCGTGCCAGAACGCTCTGAGAAGGCAGCGGAGCCCGATAAATCTTCCAGAGCTGGTGGATCTCAGAGACTCTCGATACATTATCACCCGATGATATCTTCGTCCTGGCTTTGTCTTGGCTTAGGGAGGGGCGACGACGTAGGAGGGGCAAAGACGCAGGAGGGAGGAGGAGGAAGAGGAGGAGGAGGAGGAGGAGGAGGATGAGGAGGGGGAGGAGGTGGTGACGGAGGAGGAGGATGAGCGCTTCGCCCCTCCCCGCCCATGCAGATCCAGCGAGAGAGAACAGAAGGAAGTGGAGCGCATACGAGGGAACCCGTTTTTTCCCGATCACGCCCCCACGTGAGAGTGGCCACGCGATGAACACACTGAGGTCGGTGGGAGGGGCGAGGATGCAAGTGGGTGGGGCGTCCTTGGCAGGCTCCAAGGTCACTTGGAGCTGTATACGGGCGTCTTGTTGGAATATCGGAAGCCGCTGTTGGCAGCATTGTGCAGAATTTAATGCCGTATCAATTGAGGCATGCTGGGCCATATTGGAGCCATATTGGACCAACACGCTCCCAAGAAAGCCCCTGAAAGGCAACATTGCTTCTAAAGGCTTACGCCACATCCGTCGACCCCCCTGAGATTAGGTTGTTTCCCGTGGCTTTGGGGGACGTCCAGGGTGATGGCGATGTAGATGAAATCGAGAGGGTGGGTTTTGGGGTGCCTTGGAAGGCATATTGGGCCGCCTGAAGGCCGTATTGGGCGTCTTGGCGTTGCCTTTGATCGGAACCAAGTGGAGCATCATCGGTCGGCGAAAGGAGGCGGAGTGGTCTGTGGAGCATGTGACAAGCAGGGGGTCAGCGCGAAAGGTGCGGCCGATGCGGCAAAGCGACTCCATTTCCCGAATTGTTTCCCGCTGGACCGCCACATACTTGGAAGGAAAAGAAGGTGGTATGCGCTGAATGCGTTGACGTCGGCTTCACGTCGCGCAATCGGCAAGCGTATGAATGTTGGGCACTTGCAGGAGGGAACTTTCCAAATCCGAGTTCACGGGGGAAGGGGTGCGAATCTCGCGCGTGCTCACGCACAACGCATATTGAAGGGCAAGTCGTGCGGGTGATGGCATGGGAGTGCCTCCGTGGGAGTTGTCAGCTTCCGAGCATGGATGACGAGGGTGTGAAGAGGAAAAGGAAAAAGGGTAACGAAGAGGAGGAGGTTCAATGATTTTGTTTGGTGGATACGGAAGCTTCAGTGAGGCCCCCCCCGCTGGGGCCCCGACAAATCGCCTCTGGGGGCCTGGGCGCGTCTTGTGATGCTCTCGGGCGCTCTCGGGACTGCGTTGGCGCCGTCATGGGCTCTTCTTGGGGCTCGTCTTGGGCGGCAGTATTGACGCCATCTTGAGGTCTGAGAGAGCGCGATCTGTGAAGGCTGGGAGGGGGGGGTCGAACCGCCCTCCCCCCCCCTGAATTGCGAGGGGGAGATGGTTCGAACCAGCACCCCCCCTTCTAAATTGCAAGGGGGGGGGGTCGAACCGCCCCGTTCCCCTACTCGCCATTGCCAAACGACGACGGCGAGCGCCGGCGCCCGCGCCGGCATTGTCGGGCAGCGACGACGACGACGACGAAGACGATGACAGCGACGACGCGACGACGACAACGAGAAATGCTGTTTTACTTGGATCGAGCCTTCGTAGTAATCTGTCTGAGCCGGGTCGAACGTTTACAATTCGAGTTGGATCCAGCCTTTGTAGGATTATGTTGGAGCCAGACTGAGCCCGAGTCGGATCTTGTTAGAGCCAGATCGAGCCCTGCTAGGCTTTCATCAGACCCCACTGCGTCTTAGTAGGATCCCCTCAGAGCTGGAACCAGCTTCGACACGATTCTACAAGAGGTGGCCCGGGCCCTCGTAGGATTCTAATCGAGCTGGGTCCAGCCCGAGAATTTGTCAGACCAAGCATTTTCTTTGGGCGGAGGGCAAATGGTGGAATCTGAAATGCCGCTCCTCTCGAGTCATCGCCACCCGTCAATTTCCCTCCCCCTCTCCCCCGTCCTTTCTTTCTCCGCCTCCTGCATCCCGGTTTCCGCCTCCGCCCCCATCAGCGCCTCCGCCTCCGCCTGCGCCTCCTCCTCCAAGGCTGATCTTTTCCCTCCTCTGCATCCCTCTCCCCCCCTGTCCCCCTTCAACTCCCGCATCGTCATCGTCCGCCCGCCCGCGCCAATCGCTGATGGCAGCGACCAGGTGACGCATCGCCTTTCTGGGGCCCACGTGCAATCGCCCCTCGACCGCGCCCGCGCCGTCGCCGACACCTCAATTTGAGTCGCCCTGTCTCAATCGAGGCCCCTGCCCCCCGCGCGCATACGTTCTTCGGAAGCCCGCTCGGGGCTCCGCTCGAGGCCACCCGCCGCCCTGCGATGGGCCCGCGAATTCCGACCCCCCCGCCGTTTTTTCCCACGCGTTCCCCGCCAAACGGCCGGAGGCGGTTTTAGAAAAGCAAGAAGGATTCTAGAACGAACCGCAAAGCGAATTCTAGAATTGCAAAATTAATTGTAGAACGCGACGCCACATTCTATAATTCTGCATCGTATAATGCGCAAGAAAATCACATTCTAGAACGGCAAAACAATATTAGAAAGACGAAGCGAATTCCAGAACGCAAACAGCTTGTCTAGAATTCTGGATTGACTTTCGGGCGCCAGTCGCGTGCTGTTTCACCCGTCGGGTGCTAGTCGCGTGCTCGTACACCTGCCGCGCGCCCGTCGCGCGCCTGTTCACCTGTGGCGCCAGTCGCGTGCTCGGGGGCCCAGAGAGTCAGCCAGCCACCCAGCCAACCATTCGTCCAACTATCCAGCCCAAGATTCAATCCGCCAGTCAACTAACCAGCGAGCCAACCAACCAATAGCGAACCACCCAGACAATCAGGGCGGGGCGCCGGCAACAGATGGGGAAACAGTTAAGAACATGTCTAGAGAGTTCGCGCCTGCCCGCCATCCGCAGACGCGCTGAGCGTGGATTCGTCGAGGCACGAACAACCCGCGAGTGACGTCGGGGGGCGGCAAAGCCTTGTTTGAAGGATTGCCGGGTGCGAGCCATCAGCGGTGCGCGGGCGCAATCGTGACGTCGTAGCAGAAGCCAGGCGATGCATACACACAGGCTGCTACACAACGCAAGCTTTACCCCTAAGGCCATCCAACGACAAGACGGATTGATTTTCGAGGTGCGAAAACCCACATGGATTTCACCCTGAGCCCTCCATCCTAAGAATAATGCCCAGTCAGAGCTGGATCAGACCCTCGTGTGCGTCGAATGCTGCATCCAGCTTTGATCAGACTCAGGAAGAGCTGGACCCCCACCTAATAGGATTCCATCAGGGCTGGATAGAGCCTATCATCGGATTATCTTACTTAGATTCGGCCCTAGTTGACATTTTTGCGAGCAGGACCAAGCCCTTTTGCGATAACGTCAAAGCTGGGTCTAGCCTTGATCGGATTTTATCAGAGCTGGATTGAGCCTGGGTGGGATTTCGTCAGAGCTGGATCTAGCCTACGAGGATTATTTTGGAGCTGGAAGCCGCAACGGCCTAGGAAACGATGGTGTGATACAATCTTCAAGTTTCCGCGGTCCCGAGGGCTGGAGGCATCACCGCAGAACTGGCAAGAGTTCGCTCTCGACCGGCCTTCGTGACAGAAGTCGGAGACGGAGTTTTGCAACATGTTCTGATGAGCGCCGCGGCGTTGCCCACCCATCCCCGTGGCGGGACAGGCTTGCCTGAGGCGATGGCTCTATCTATTTATCTACGGAACAGGATTCCGCCAGAGTTTGATCCAACCGGGCTGTTTTTTTCAGGCTGGATCGAGTCCTTATAGGATCACGGTCAGGCTGAATCCTGCACTAATAGGTTTCGATTTCGGCAGGACCGAGACCTAGTAGGATCGGGTTCGAATTGGATCGAGCTGTAGTAGGGTTCTATCAGGCGTGGACCGAGCCCCCGTAGGATCCCCCTACAGTTGGACCGAGCCTCGCTGGGGTTCCAGCTGAGCTAGATGCATGTCCCGTAGGATGTCATTGGATTTCGATCGAGCCATCGTAGGATGCTTTCAAAACTGGATCTGGCCCCGATCGGATCCGAGTCGAATAGGATGGAGCTTTAGTAGGATCCCGTTCAAGCTGTATCCAGTCCAAGTAGGATTTTATCGGAGCTGGATCACGCCTGAGTAAAATTCAAGTTAAGCTGGATCGAGCCCAAGGGGCGAGCCTTGGTGGGATCCGATTATGAATGGATCGATCTTGCGTACGACCCCATCTGAGGTGGATTCAGATCTAATGTCCTGCCATTCTTGCTGGACCAAAGCATGCCAGGTTTTTGTCAGAGTTGGACTGGGCCCAAGTCGGATTTAGCATGAACTGGATCGAGGGTCAGTAGCTAGTCTCCATCAAGGCTGTTACGAGTCTTGGTATGTTTCCATCAGACCTGGGTACAGCCCTACTAGGATTCTATGTGAGCTGGATGCAGCCTTCCTTTGGGTTCTGTTTGAGTTGGACCGATCCGTCGTACGATTCTATAGGCTGGAGACCACATCGGAGTTCATTAAGACCCTGGATGGATTCAATTCGAGCCTGATCCAGTCCTAGCATGTTTTTATCAGAGCAGGGCGTATTCCAAACCGGATGTCATTAGAGTGGACCCAGTTCTAGTACGGTCCCCCCCGAGATGGACCGAGTCCCATTTGGATTCTTTTTCAATTGGATCGAACCCGCATTGGTGCAAGTAAGACTTGAACCGAGCCGTTCGTAGGGTCCCATTAAAGCCGGATCCAGCCCTGATAGGCTTTTTCGGGGCTCGGACGACCGGGGTAAATGCAAGCGGGGCTCAGCCAGGGCGCCGGATCTTGCAGAATCCTGCAAACCCAGTGGTGCACTAAGCGCGACTGGCCCGGTTTTGGATTGACTCGGGCTTGTAGATCCCCGAAGTCTGCTTGAGTTGAAGAACGACTAACAGGATTAGGTCAAAGCTGGATCCAACTTTAGCAGGATTCTCTCATGGTTGGGTCCAGCCCTATTAGAAAATTATTCAAGTTCGACCGAGCCCCAGTGCGATTCTATTACGGCCGGATCGAGTCTTCATAGGTTTCCGTCAGAGTAGGATTCCAATAAAGCTGATCCGAGCCACTAGCGAGGTTCACTAGATGATGATGACGATGACGACGATGACGGTGACGGTGATGATGCAGACGATCATGATGAGGCTGATTGTGATGATGCGATGAGGAGGATGACGTTGATGGTGATGATAATGATGATGTTGATTATGTTGATGATGCTGATGCTGATGACGGTGATGATCACGATTATGACGATGGCGATAACGACGAGGGTGGCGATGACCCTTCGCCGCACTGGCTGGCGCCGGGCGCCAGCGCCGGTGCCAGGTGCGCCCCCGACCCCGTTGACGATGTGTGCACCGTCGTAGGCCGTCGTCGTCGTCGTCGTCGACGTATGCGCTGTTTCCCAGCGGCGAGCAGGGGGGAAGGGGGCGGGGCGGGCGGTGCGAACCCCGCCCGCCTGAAAAGGAAGGAGCGCCCCCTGAGGGCTAGTGGGGTTCTGCAACCCGTCGCGTACAAAACCTGTGTGTCACGTACGATGTTGCCCTCTGCGGTCCAGCCACTGCATAGATGAACGTGACCTCCCCACTTTGACGCCTGAGCACCTTGGCCGGCGATTTTGAGGATCCTGAGAACGTGGACGGCTGTGTTGACGAGCGTAACAGTGACTTCGATTGTCTTTCTTGGAAAACACAAGCCCACGCAGGGGATCGTTTGCCGGCTCGGCTTGACGCCGTCGGCGTGGGCGCAGCAGTGAGGATCTAGGTCTCCCAGATGGGGTCACATCTGGGCGCCCGCTGCCCGCGTCTTTTGCAGACGTGGAGGCCAATGTGTGCGAGAGCCTGTTCTGTGGGCCCTCGGAGTGGATGTCCCCGGACTTCCTTAAAGCCCTCACGTCGTTCGCCTTCTCGAGGAGCTCGTTCGACGTCCGCTGGTCGTCTGTGGCGGCCCGGGCTCGCGTGGCGCAGTTCGTGGACTCGGCCAACGGAGGCCCCAGAGTGCAGCAGCGCGCAAGGGCGCCTCGAAAGGCTATCAACCACCCTGGCAACGCCGCCCTGGCAGTCAGATTGCTGCCCTGGTTGTCCAAGATCTCTTCTCGCTGGCCGACGCCGTGCAACAGGTGCGAGCCCGGGAGCGCCAACTCCAAGTGGAAGTGTCTTTTGGCGCCGCGGTGGGCATGCCGTCCAGGAGCCCGTGGGTTGGCAGGCGAGGGCGAGGGAGCTCCGCAACCTTCCCTCCTGAGGCCCGGGCGGGGGCGCACGCCCGCCGAGCCCGCCTGGACTGGTGGCGCTCGCCGACGATGCCCGGTCACCGGGGCGGCAGATGGCTGAGCACTCTGCGTGCCACGTCGGCCTGGCTGCTGCCCCGCATGCAATGCTATGGCCGTTGCATTTTCGGCTGCAGGGCCGAAGGCAGCGTCGAAGACTACGCTTCCAGTAGTTGTTTTCAGGCTGCCTGCGCTCGCAAGCTGAAGCTGTGCAAGCCGCCGCCCGCATGCTGTCGCGACGACTTCGCTTCCTGGGCATCGCCCCGTATGCTGCGGCCCCGTATGCCGATGCAGCCAGGGCGGCGGCGGCCAGAGCCATTGCAGTCTACGCGTTGCAAACGAAACACAACGCCGTCTGACACGGCGCGGGCTCTGCGGCGTGCGCTGACCTGTTCAATGGTTTTCTGCGCGAGGCCACCCGTGGGCACTGGAAAGTCATGAGCCTGGTTGCCTCCGCCTTTTGGTGGCCGCGTCCCGAGTAGATTCGTGTTGCAGATGTTCCTCATATTTCCCTTCCTCCCCTCCTTTTTTATTAAAAGAATTCAATATGCAGCGCCGCCCTCGTGAGTGAATGTTTCCCAAGACACCTGTGAAACAGTGTGCATGTGTTGGGGCGGCAAGCGCTAAGACAAATGTTGTCGGTTCCGCGCTGCGCCGCGTTGGACATCCAGATTTCCATTGGAATCTGAACATGTCGGTCTTGCTTCAAAAAGATAGATCGGCCGCCACACACTTCGAGGCTATGCAGTGCGCGCGATCGCGCCACCTTCTGTCCCTGCCGCGTGGCCGATGGACATCGGGCCACGTTGCAACCCGCAGCCGATTCGAGCTGCCCGCCCCTTCCCCCTCGTCTCCTTCCTCCCGCTCTCTGTTCTTGTCTCGTCCTCGCTCCCCCCGAATTCGGCCGTCCGGCATTGCAGATCTGGCCCGCGGGCGCCGCGGTCAGAGCCCACGAGCCGACCGATGCTGCTTGTCAAAAAGGTGGCCGGCGGCTCGTGCGCGGCTCATGGGATACTTCAGCGGCTGCCTCTGCGCGGGCGGGATGGGGCATCCGCGCTGTCATGGGCAATCCTGATTGTCTTGGCCATCGAATGCCATTGATGCAGGTCGGCACATTCTTTTTTGGGCGTTTGAGTGCCCCTGTTCCAGAAGTCGCTGTTTTTTCCAATCCTCCTCTCGTGGGGTCCTCGTTTTGAAGAGACGGTCCCCGCGTTCCTCCCTCCTTCCTCCTCCCCCTCCCCCCTCCTACCTCCTCCCTGCGTTTCACCCACCCAGTACAGCGCTTCGTGGCCCCACAGGGAGCTCCACCGAGGGCCCTAGTGGGACCGCCCGCATGCGTCCCGAAAACCGACTTTGGCACACCCTTCACACGCTTCGTGGCCCCATACAGAGCTTCACCGACGGCTCCAGTGCCACCGCCCGCATGCGCCCCCACACACCCAATTTGGCACACTCTTCAAACGCTTCATGGCCCCATAGGGAGCTCCACCGAAAGCCCCAGTACTACCGCCCGCATGCGTCCCGAAAACCCAATTTGGCACGCCCTTCACACGTTTGGTGGCCCCAGAGGGAGCTCCACCGAAGGCCCCAGTGTCACCGCCCGCACTCGTCAAGAAAACCCACTTTGGCACACCCCTCGCACGCCTCGTGACCACATGGGGAGCTCCACCGAAGGCTCCAGCTCCACCACCCGCATGCGTCCCGAAAACCCAGTTTTGCTCACCCCTCACACGTTTCGTGGCCCCAGAGGGAGCTCCACCGAAGGCCCCAGTGCCACCGCCCGCACTCGTCAGGAAATCCCACTTTGGCACACTCCTCGCACGCCTCGTGACCACATGGGGAGCTCCACCGAAGGCTCCAGCTCCACCGCCCGCATGCGTCCCGAAAACCCAGTTTCGCTCACCCCTCACACGTTTCGTGGCCCCAGAGGGAGCTCCACCGAAGGCCCCAGTGCCACCGCCCGCACTCGTCAGGAAATCCCACTTTGGCACACTCCTCACACGCTTCGTGGCCCTATAGGGAGCTCCACCGAAGGCCCCAATGCAATTGCCGGCATGCGTCCCGAAAGCTCAATTTGGCACACCCCTCACACGTTTCGCGGTCCCATAGGGAGTTCCACCAAAGGCCCCAGTGGGACCGCCCGATTGCGTCCCGAACACCGGATTTGGCACACACATACACACACACACCTCACACGCTTCGTGGCTACATACAGAGCTCCACTGACGGCCCCGATGCCACCGCCCGCATGCGTCCCGAAAACCCAGTTTTGCTCACCCCTCACACGTTTCGTGGCCCCAGAGGGAGCTCCACCGAAGGCCCCAGTGCCACCGCCCGCACTCGTCAGGAAATCCCACTTTGGCACACTCCTCACACGCTTCGTGGCCCTATAGGGAGCTCCACCGAAGGCCCCAATGCAATTGCCGGCATGCGTCCCGAAAGCTCAATTTGGCACACCCCTCACACGTTTCGCGGTCCCATAGGGAGTTCCACCAAAGGCCCCAGTGGGACCACCCGCATGCGTCCCGAACACCGAATTTGGCACACACATGCACACACACACACACACACACACCTCACACGCTTCGTGGCCACATACAGAGCTCCACCGACGGCCCCAATGCCACCGCCCGCATGCGTCCCCACTCCCATCTCGGCACACCCCTCACACGCTTCGTGGCCCCATAGGGAGCTCCACCGAAGGCCCCAGTGTTACCGCCCGCATGCGTCCCCCCACCCAATACAGCGCTTCACGGCCCCATGAAGAGCTCCACCGAAGCCCCCAGTGGGACCGCGCGCATGCGTCCCGAAAACCCACTTTGGCACACCCGAAGCCCCCAGTGCTACCGCCCGCATGCGCTCCCCTCCGCGCAGTGAAGCGCTTCGTGGCACCATCGGGAGCTCCACCGAAGAAAATATTCACAATTGCGATACCCACATCTGCATTTGGCTGGGTCCTGCGCCAGGATAATTTTTCCGGGCCTGGTCAGCCCTCAGCTGGCTTTCCCCCATCTGTGCTTTCATGCTTCATCGTGCTGTCGCCAGGCCGCTCGATGCTCGAGGGCGTTGACGTTTGTGCGATAACTCACGGAGTTTCGTCGTGCGCCTTGTTCGAGACCCGCTGTGGGCCATTGGGTTCCCCCCCTTCCCTTTCTCCTCCTGCTCCCCCTCCCTCCTTTCTCCTGCCATGGTGAATGTATTGCCAGGCAGCCGAGGCCGTTCAATACGGGTCTGTCCAATAACAATGTGGCAGGCCATGGGATGATACGTTTTTGGGCTACTTCGTATCATTCGCATTTGGGTTTCTCTCTTCTCCTCCTCCTCCTCCTCCTCCTCCTCCTGGGCCCGGGCAATAATCGTCACATGTAGCTTTTTTTGTTTGCGTTTGTCTGTCTAGGGCAGGCAGGATTTGGCCGCCCTGGCCGGCGCCGACAGTATGCAGCACCGTAATGCCGTCCTCTCCGACTGGCGTTTCGGCCACGTACGTAGGACAGCTTCGCGAGCGACGAACATTCTAATTGCCAGCGCGCTTGGCGAGGCGAGTTGTGTATATTATCGCGGTTCGCTCCCGTGTCCTGCTCCCCCCAAAGGAAAACAGTGTTGGACGGTATGAATCCATGTTGGGCGAGAATATGATAGGGAAAGGGACAACCACAGCCAATCATCTTGCGCGACTGCAGTCACCGGAAGCGGACGTCGTCGTGGCCAATGAAGCACCTTCGTTCCTGTTTTACCGTTCTGTTGACTGTGCGGACGGGAGGAGGGGTACAGACGGGATGGGGGGAGAGCGCCCGCAGCGGCGACGGGAATTGCCCGCCTGCAACGTATTCCCATCACTACGGTGAGCACCGCCATATCACGATGCCAATCTTCAGGGCCATTTCAGTTTCTAAGGGCGCATCCCTAATATTGTCTCCGCCTTGGGCTCGTCAATCTTAGGGGCAGACAAAAGCTGGAGGCCAGTTGGAGGTGGTAGGAGCTTGGCTGGGGGGCTCGGGATGGGCAGGCACTCTGTTGGCACGGTCGCCGCCCCCACGTCGTCGATGGAACACGGCGGCATCGTCCGGGTGCTGCGCTGGTGCCCGTTCGACGACCTGCAAGATGGGGCCGCCGGCAGGCCGGGGGGGGAGAGGAGGAAGAGGTAATTACCGATACCGCTGATCGTCCGTCAGTTCATTTTCGGGCGTTTGTGTCGCTTCGCGGCGGTCTTCCAGCTTGGGATGCTCTCCAGTAGCTGCGCTTCGCCCACAGGCGCCCAGGGTGCCCAGATTGTCCCGAACTACCCCTGGAGGCACGAGGTACAATCCGAAAGCCTGACCTCTTTGTACCGCCTGCCTCGTTGGGGCCATGCCGTTCCTCATGAGAGGCTCTCGTCGCCACGGCTTGATTCGCCTCGAAATTCTGGTCAGATTGCACCCCGGGATATGTCCGGGCAGTAGCGGTATGGGTGCCTGTTAGGTTTGCACAGGGGGGCGGGTTGTGCCTTGCTGCGTCTTCTTGTGCTTGCTTTCTTAAACGGCATAAACATAAACTGTCGGCGCTCCACGCGCATTTCTTGGATCGGCGTTGGGCTACGGCGCCGCCCTTGCCGCGCTCCGCGCGCCAGGGAGGGGGGGTCCAGCGCCGATTCAAGAAATTTACGCGGGCCTCCGAAAGTTTCTCTCAATTTCATTGGTTGTCCCTCTATTCTAGTCTCTGCTTGATGTCGACAGCGAAGGCGGGTGTGCAGGGTTATGCCCTGTCGCAGCCTCTCACGTCGCTTCTTGTTTCCGCTCGAAGGCGGCCAAGGGCCCGAGACCAAGCCAGCGGGGATGCGGCGCGATCCTCCGACCCCACCTGCTCGGACCCCATCCCATGGTGCCCCCAGGAACTCCGAGGAGACCCCCACGGCCTGCAGAGCACCCTTCTCGCGAGGCCCAGAGGGGGCTCCAAGGTCGGGCGGAACGCTGGGGGCACCTTGGGGCCATGGGGCAACCCCCGATCTGGGAGGCTTCTGCACACGCCGGCACAGCGCCTGCGCGCTTCTTGCCCGCGCAGGCGCTGCGCCGGCGTGGGCAGGACGCGCGCAGGCGCTGCGCCCTGTCGGCGGAGGCAGTGCAGCAGGAACTCCCGCCGCCGGCAGCGCCGCCTGGCGCGATGCTCCCCGCACCGCATCTCTCTCTGCGCTGTGCCACGGCCCACTCCGGCGCCTCCAGATCGGGGGCCCTTTCCGCTTGCGGCGTTCCGCTGGCGTCCCATGGCGGCGCTGGCATGCACCCGCCCCCCGAGCGCGCCCGATGCCCTTGCGAGCGCTCGTCGCCTGATGGCCCCTCTTGGGCCGCCACGGCAACCAGGCGCAGGAGGAGGAGGAGGAGGAGGAGGAGGAGGAGGAGGAGGAGGAGGCGGCTCACCGAGGGTGGAAGCGAGAGGGGGCCGTCCTGCCTCCCGAGGCCCGAGGCTGGCCGCCGCCGCCCCGCCCCCTTCCGCAGGAGGCGGGGCGTCGGAGAGGCTGCTCGGGGCGGAGGAGCCGGAGGGCCGTGAGTCAAGCAGTGGCGAAGCGTCTTGGCGTGCCTACCAAACAATGTTCTAAGAACCTTTTTGCGGTTTCCACGACATGTTCTTCGAACATTTCTGGCTGGGACTGTCTTGTTTTAACACATCGGGCTTATGTTCTAAGACCATTGTTTTTGTTATTAGAACATATCAGGGTTCTAAGAAGATTTCGTGGTAGGCCTACATGAATGCTGGGACGGTCGGTCCCTGCTCAAGTGGGGGAGAGGGTGCAGCAGAGCCGAGGATAGAAGCACAGACGCCGTTGCCCTTCCAGGACCCATCTCGATTCGATCCACAAGGGCGACCTCGAGGGCGCGAAGCTATACGCGCCTCGAACCTCGCTTCGGCTCCGATTACTCATCTTCCTCTTCGCCCGCCGCGAGAGCGCGAAGTTCTTCGCGTCGCGCGCAGCGCGCAGCGCGAATTGAGGCGCCCGTGGATCCATCCGGTCCGATATCGATCCCAGCCTCCCGAGGAGAGACTGCGTCTGATTGGCGGCGCGCACAAAGGAAGTAAGGTGACGTCGGGCCTGTCCCTCCACAGGAGGAATATTCCAACATACTAGTCAAAAATGGCCTAGGGACGATTTTTGTTTTATTTTGTTGACTGGTTTAGGGCATGTTTTGTCTGCCCCATGCCGCCGGCCCCCTGTCTCGGAGAATGGGATATGCGAAAGCTAAATCATGAGGCCTGGGCGCCGCCGTGAAGCAGTGTCGGGACCTGGTTGTTTTTCGACCCTGACCCCACTGATCTGCATCACGGGTGCCACCGAATTTCAGAAATGTAGCAAATCCCCTCTGTTTTTGCACCCTGACCCCACCGATCTGCGTGAGGGGTGTCACCGAATGTCAGAAATGTGGCAAATCCCTTATGTTTTTGGACCCTGACCCCGCTGATCTGCGTGAGGGGTGCGACCGAATTTCAGAAATATGGCAAGTCCCATATGTTTTTGCACCCTGACCCCGCCGATCTGCGTGAGGGGTGCCAGCGAATTTCAGACATGTGGTTAATCCCTTATGCTTTTGGACCCTGACCCCGCTGATCTGCGTGAGGGGTGCGACCGAATTTCAGAAATATGGCAAGTCCCATATGTTTTTGCACCCTGACCCCGCCGATCTGCGTGAGGGGTGCCAGCGAATTTCAGACATGTGGCAAATCCCATGTGTTTTTGGACCCTGACCCCGCCGATCTGCGTGAGGGGGGCCAGCGAATTTCAGAAATGTAGCAAATCCCATGTGTTTTTGGACCCTGACCCCGCCGATCTGCGTGAGGGGGGCGACCGGATTTCAGAAATTTGGCAAATCCCATGTGTTTTTGAAACCTGACCCCGCCGATCTGCGTGAGGGGTTTTATTTTTTACCCACCCCAGCAATTCAGACAACACGCTCAGGGCGTGGTAGAAATGCCTGTTTTGAGCCTCCCCCCCTCGCGCGCTCCATGAACAAGGAACAGTAAGCAGCAAGAAGTCAACAAGGAACAGTAAGCAGCAAGAAGCAGAACAGAACCTTAGCCCCACAGCCTGGTGGCCCCACACAGGGGCCGGCGGAGTTTTCGTCCGCTTGTAGGAGGACATGCCCGACCTGAGGGTAAGATGAGGGGGGAAGGCTTCTTAGAAGCAGGCTGCTTCTTAGCAGGTGCCGGCCTTACATGCACAGACAAGGCCCGGCCGTCTGAGAAGCAGGGGTGTTTCTCAGAAGCCTGCCCACGGAAGTTGAGGGGGGCGCACGGGTCGGGAGCCTTGAGACGAGTGTCAATGCAAACGGGGATCAGCCGAGCGCCAGATCTTGCAGGATCCTGCAGGGCCAGGCTCCCATTGACCCAGGTTTGGGTGCAGGATCCTTCGCATTGACCCTGGTATGGGTGCAGGATCTTGCAGGATCTTGCAGGATTCTGCAAGGCCTGGCTGACCGGGTCTGGATTGACCCGGGTCAGAAGATCCCCGAACGGGGGGGTGTTGGAGGCGGTCGCGGCAGCCTCAGCGAGGCTGCCCGCCGTCCTTGTGGCAGGGATTGCGGCAGGCAGGGCGCGGCGCCAGAGGCGCCGACGCCAGAGGGCGCGCGCGAGGCCATCTCGACGCGTGAGTGGTGGAGGGGCCCCCCAGGTAGCCCCTACAAAAACTCCCCCACCCCCTTCCCTTCGGGGATCATCCATTAACATTGGAACGATACAGAGAAGATTAGCATGGCCCCTGCACAAGGATGACACGCGCAAATCGAGAACTGCATACATTAAAAACAAACAAACAACAAACAAACAACAAACAGCTCCCCCATCCCCCAGCCAGGAGCCCCTGGATCGCCGGGTCTGGGGCGGGGATCCTGGCGCGGGTGGGGCTGGGCTGTGGTGTCCTCGGCCTTTGCCAGCCTCTGGCGCGTAACGGTCGCTGCTCGGGCAAAACCCCCCTTATCGATAATGCGGGGGGGGGCGGGGACTGGACTCCACCATGCTACGGCGATCCCGTATGCTGCGGCGATCCCGCATGTTGGTTCTCGTGCGCATGCAACGGCGATCGCAGCGCACCCCCGCCCCGACGTGCCCCACCCCGCCGGGGAGGAGGGTCGTTGGCGCACGGATAGGGGGAGGTGTGAGAGGGGCAGGCCTCCTCAGAGGGCGGCGGGGCTTCAGAGAAGCCCGTGAGCCTGCTGAGGAGCCCTCTGCAGGGTTCAGATCGACTCCTCCTATTCAATGCGCTTCGAGTTCGAGGGCTCCCGATTCCGATTTGTCCATAGCGGCCTGCTGGCCTGCCGATTTCCGCCGATTCGACGTCTCCCGACTCGGCTGCCGATTTCGGCCGATCTGGTTCGTGCCGGTCACCGATCCGACTTATCTGGGCAGGAAGTGGGCGACGAAAGAGAACGGGGTCGACTGTGCCGACATTTACGCGCAAGCTGCCCGTGCGAGATCGAGCGTAAGCGTCCTCTTTTCCACGCGGGGTGCCGCGCTGGCGGCCCGCGAAAACCTCGGCGTAAAGTCGCTTCGTCATGTCGCGTAGGACCCGCTTCTGTTCGTCGCTCGGGTGGCGGGAGAAAAAGGCATCAGCGGAGACGGGGGCAACGAAAGGAGTGGGAAAGAGCAGAAGGGGAAGGGGCACATCTCAGAAGAACAGACGGTATAACCACAAGCTCTCGGAGCTCCGCGCGGAGCTGCCGGATGTGTACCGGATCCCGTTGGCGGCTCCTCGCGCCGGGGTGCGGGGTTCAGCGCAGATCCACGAAATCCGCGCGGAACTCCGGACGCTCATGATTTTTACGTAGTTGTTTTATTCCAGTAGGGGTTTCCAGACATCCGCTGTCGTCATGTGTTCCCAGCGGGGCTCGCGAGGGCAGGTTGTCTTACTATGGTTCGTTTTTGGCAGTCCCAGGGCCCAGCAAAGGTCCCGGGAGGCAGACAATGGATTGAAACCGCCCGTCGTGTTCCCCCACGACGAGAGGAGGTCTTTTCTCTACGCTCGAGGGGAAGGAGCACGTAGTGGACCAGGGAAAACCAAAGATGCATCGGCGATGCTGCAGTGCATCCTCCCGTTCTTTCTGGATATATCCAGATGCCAATCTACCTCAAGAGCCTTCCTACATCACGAATCGATGTGTTTCTGTTGAGTTGGGTTACTCTTCGGACGGGCCCGAACCCATGTATTCTGGCCGCCTTCCTATTTCATGTGTCCACCCTCTTCCGACTGGCGGATAATCAGGACAGCGAAGAACTGTGACCATACAGTTCAACAGGATGTCCAACGAGATTCCCTTTTAGAAGAAGGACCGCAGCCCATCCGTGCAAATGCTGCGCAAGTTGTCAACTGCTGTCATGAACTTCGGGGACGTCTCAAGCGAGAGTTCTATCTTGAAAAAGAGTCACCCTAGAGCCGTGCAGTGCTACATATGTTGAAGGTCTTCAGAACTAACGAGGTTCCGAGATATAGTAACATTTTGAGCCGGACCAGTCCTACCCTCTTTCACATACGTTGCCTCAACAATCCGATTGCGCGCGGAGCGCAGGCGAGAGTACCATTTTGCAAACGACATGTGCTCAATCCTCGCATTTCATGTGTTGCAATGTTTGAAGACGACTGTGCGGGGCGCTGGAAACGAGCCGCCATGCATCCGTCAAGGTGCTGCAAACTGTTCAAGCGAATATCCGCGGCGCACAAGCGAGGTCAACATTTTGGAAGCGATCCGCCTCCAGACTTGAATTTGTTGGAAGCTTGTGAGACGAGTGTGCTCGGTGCTGAGGCAAGATCCACATCTTGAAAACAATATCTTCTCCTTCGTGGAAGTTGTTGCGAGTGTGTAAGACGAACGTGCGAGGCGCTGGGTAGAGAGTTCCATTTTGAAAGCGACCTGAGCTCCACTGTTGTCACTGTTGCAGATTCCATACCCAGGATCATGAGTGGCGAGGAGGTCGTAGCCGAACCGCCCAGCCCGCCCTACCGACACGTCTGAGAGCGCGACAGCGAGTAGTTGTTCATACAAGGATAGGCTCGAGGAGGAGGGAGAGGGTAGGGAGAACGAGGGGGAGGATAGAGGTGGTTCCCTCTGCCTCTCTCTCCCTCTGTTCTTTCTTCTCTCGTGTTCTCATTGAGTGCGTTCGCCTAATTCTGACCTATGGTTGTAGTTAGGGTCGGCCTGTTCGGAGCTTCCTGTTCGCTGTGTGCGCGTGCGTGCGTGCGTGCTTGCGTGCGTGCGTGCGTGCGTGCGTGTATGTGTGCGTGTGTTTGTTTGTGTGTGTTTTGTGTGTACGTGTGTGTGTGTGTGCGTGTGTTGTTGCCCGCCACAAACGGGGCTCTCGCATCCTCACACCGTCTCAGCCCAGGCCGCACGCCGACGCACGCAAGTAATGCGGGCAGCGGGTGGCGAGGGAAAGGTTCGCGGGTGGGGCACAGTCTTCTGTGCAGCCAGCCCAATCCACCACCGACACCCCGCAGCTCTCTGAATGCTCCCATCCGCCAGGACCAGCCCCTTTCTGGTCCTGGGCACACCAGCGCACGCGCGACCAGCGAAAACGCACGACGAGGTCATGCCACAGCGCGAGACAACACCCAGCCTTAACCCTGTCCGCGTGTGCAACCCTCTGTGGTCGGCGTTGGAGGGCGGACCAGGCCGTTCCGGGTGGTGTGATGGTGCGCCGCCTGCACCACGCGACCCCGCACAGGGGTTCGCATGAGATCTTGGGGGCGCGGGTGGGTGAGAGAATTTGCGCCTTGAGCCAGTGCGTGCGCGCTCGTGCGTGCCACCTCTGATGGGGAGGGAAAGAAGGGGGGGAGTGACAAGAATGGAGAAACAACACAGCGGCACCCTGCGTGTAGGCCGAGGCTGCCCCCCGTGCAGGGAGGGCGCGCCGGCCATGCTGAAACAAGCTGAAGGCCACAGCCGTGTTGCGCAAACAATTGGAGGGTTGCGGGTTGGGTAGGCCTGCAACTGGCGCCAGGGTGAGCAGAGATGGACCTCCCAAGCGCCCAAAGCGAAAGTAGAACAACGCAAGCCAACGCGTCCAGCTGTTAGCTCCCAGTGTGATGCATCGCACGGCACGCGCAAACCAGTGGACAGCAGTAGCCTCCAGTGCGTTGTAACGCACGGCACGCGCATTTCATAGCAATTGAAGTGGTCCACTGGAGGGGTGCATCGTCCATGCGGATTCAAACCGCAGTCTACGGCCATGCCATCGCTCTGAGCAGGACCGTGAGGCCCAGTACGGATCGGTGCCGCACAACGCATATCCACCCCACGCAACCCACCCGCCTCGGTGCGTGTGCGAGGGACAGCGTGTGGACACGACGGCGAACGACAACGACCCCCACCGCCACGACGACGACAGTGGCAGCGACGATGACGACGACGACGGCGGACGGACGGCGGACGGCGGAAGGCGGGCGCCTGACGTCGACGACAACGACGACGACGACGACGGCGACGACGACGACGGCGACAGCGGAAGGGACGACAGCGACGACGACCACGGACGGCGACGACGCCGACAACAACGATGGCAACGACGGCGAGAACTACAATGGGAGGAGAGGAACGAAGGAAGAGCCAAACTCCACAAACCGCTGTGAGCACACATGCACAAACGCATCACAGCGCAGCACGGCACGCGAGGCTGTGCGTGTGCGTTTGTGCCCCACATCACATCTCAAACACGGCACAGCACAGCACAGCACATCACAGCACGTCACAGCACAGCACATACCGCCTGGCGTGTGTGTGTGTGCGTGTGGTAGCACAATGTGCTTAACGGCAGCCCCGTTTCGCTCCCTCGTTAGCGCATTGATTCTGCATAGCCGCCGACGTAAACAGCGTGTGTGGTGTGTGTGTGTGTGTTTGTGTGGTTGTGCGTGTGTGCGCGAGCGGGGCAGGCGGTTCGCCAGCGCGTCCGAGAAGCTGGGCTCCACGCCGGCCATGATTTGCGTCTGGCGCGTGGGCAACCGGGGCGCCCCGGAGAAGGCGGCGGCGGCGCTCGGGTCGGGAGTCAGTCGGGTGCGGCCAAGAGGGGGGTGATGATTAGGGGGGGGGATATCATGGCGGGGGCCATGATATTTCCGTAGCATCGTTACGTCCCTGCCCCCCCCCCTGCGCCGCGCACGTGCCGCGGGCCATGATTTGCGCCCCCCCTCTTGGACGCCCCCCTCTTGGCCGCCCCCGAGTCAGATGCAAAGTTCGGGGGCGGGGTGCAGTCGATTTTGATAGCAGGTCGGCCCTGCCAAATCAGGGGTGCCCAACGATCGAGGGTGCTCAATCGCTGAGATCGCATGATGACATCACCCCCCCCTCCTACATTCTGCCTGGCGTCTTGCCGCGGGGTCCTCCCCGCCCCCCCCGGCGAGCTCGCGGGCGAACGAGGTGCCCAGCTCTGGTCTGGGACTGCAGTCGAATTTGGTTGGTGATTGGGTCGGCCCCGCCAAATCGAGGGTGCCCTTGTGTCCTGAGTTTCGCGGCCCGTGCCTTCTGCATTCCCATGGCAATGTGGTCCTCGGAAGGGTCTCGTGTCCTCTCGCGCGTCCTCTCCGATCAAACTCGACTGTAGGCTCAAGGGGGTGACGTACCGAGCCCAAAACCGGGGCCGAACGGGGCAGGCACGATAGCCCACCGCGCCCAGGCACGCGCGGATTCGCCTCGGGGCCCATCGCCGATCCATCGGCGACGTATCGCCGATTCCAGCTCGAGGCTTGTCCCTCCGGAGCCGGTCCCCCCCCCGGACGTTGTCCTTCGGGAGGGCGCAGGCCTTCTGAAGGCTGCGAGGGGATCCCGACGGGCTGTGTCTCCTAAGTTTCCCGGCCTCGAGGTGTTTTCCAGGCCCTCTTCGAGTCGTGAAGGTGTTCTGGTGTTCTCGTTGGCTCTGGGGGGGGGTTCTCGCCACGGGATGCTCTGCAGCACCTGCGACTCTCCGAGAGCGTTCCAGGGATGCTCGGATCGTCCCCAGCGGCCGCTCGGGGTCCGAGGTATGGTCCGGAAGCTGAGTCTGTTGCCTCCTGAAGATAATGTTGGAACATGTCTGCAGATGTTCTGCCTTCGGGGGCCCTCTCCTGGCTCCAGGACCGCCAAGAATCGGGTCGAGTGTAAAGGTTGGTCCAGGGGAAGGGGTCTAGACCTCTGAGGGGTCGACGTCCACGCTGCGAAGTAATCACAACGTCTTGGTTCTATGGGAGAGGGGCGGGACCGGGGAGGAGCAGGGAAGGAAGGGGAGAGGGAGGAAGGGAGAGGAGGATGGCACGGATGGGATGGGCAGAGGGGATGGAAGAGGGATAGGGGATGAGGGAGGGAGGAAGGGGGAGGCGGAGGAGGCGGGGGAGAGTGAGGAGGAAGGTAAGGAGGAGGACCAGGAGGAGGAGGAGGCGGAGGAGGAGGAGGAACAAGAAGACGAGGATTCGGCATTGCGTGTGGTCTCATGCTGTGCCTGCTTGCGCTCGCTGCAGCTGGAAAGCCAGTCAAACCTCGAGGGATCGTCGCCGAGAGTAGAGCAGGAGGAGCAGGAGGAGGAGGAGGAGAAGGTGGGAGGGGAGGAGGGAGGAGAAATGGGTTGTGGACCGGTGGGGGGACATTCAGGACTAATGCAGCAGCGCAGTGCCACTTTTGAGGATGCGGCTCCAGCCCCAGGCTGGAGGCTTGGAGGCTTGGAGGCCAACTTGTTCGATTATGATGCCCACCATGCTCCCGACTGCTCTTCCAGGCTCTGCGGTCGGTGATTGGAGCGCCCGTGTTTTTCCGCCCGAAACAGCATTAGTCCATGACCGAAGCCCTGGGGGGTGGGCGAGGGTCCTGGTCGTGGATCTCGGGGCATGGTTTTTGTATGCTGAACGTGGCCCCGTGGGGTGGTATCTGACTGGGGTGGGGAGGGTGCGGTACACAAGAATACCGCGAGGCTTTTGACGAGGGTCTTCGCTCTCCGCGGGGACGCCCCAGGGATTCCACGGCTGTTGCCCTCCTTGCCCGAGCTGCGGGCCGCTCGGCACCGATGGAGGAGGAGCACAGAGAGGCGCTGGGCGCCGGCGGCGGAGGCACGGCAGCGGAGGAGGAGGAGGAGGGGTGCAGGCGCAGAGGAAGGAGGGCGAGGAGGCGGGAAGGGTGGAGGAGGAAGAGGAGGAGGAGGAGGAGGGCAGCGAGGAGGAGGAGGACCAGTGTAAACCCAAGAGTTATCAACGATTTTTGAATGAACCCTCCCTCCAAGCTCCCTCTTTCATAGGCCCCTCCAACATTTCATCTCCATTGAGGGATTGCTTCGTTGGAAGACGACCGTTTGAAGACCCTGAAGTATCCCAAAAATTTGTTCTCGGGATTCCAACGCCACGGATCAACCCGATTGTTGCGTCTTGACGGTCCTGAATCGCGCCAAAACGCCATTCTTGGGACTTCAACACCGCTAATCAACGTAACTGTTGCACCCGCATAATCCTGAATCCTTCCACAGCACCATTTCTGGTATGTTGATCATGGGAATCCGTGACCGCTTGCACGTTGTGTAAACGAATGTGCGCGGCGCTAGATCGAGAGCCACATTTTGAAACGGAACCGCCCTCATTATGTAAAGTTTTCCCATGCTTTAACGAATGTGCGCGGCGCTAAGGCGAGAGCCACATTTTGAAAGCGATCCGCCCTCCAGATGTGAACCTGTTGTCAATTTTGCAAAATTGCAGAGTCATAAGTGGTGCGGAAGTCTCAAGCAAAACGCCCGGCCCGCCCGAAAACTGGCCTCGGGGTGCGACAGGGAGAGGTTATTTTTTCGGAAAAAGAATGGGGGGAGGAGGAAGGAGAATGAGGAAAGGGGGAGGAGAGGAAGGGAGAAGGAGGAGGTGGAGGAGGAGGAGGAGGAAGAGGCGGCAGCGGCCCTCTCCGCCCTCTATGCCCCGACGACAACCGGCAGCGGCTCCTGCCCAAAAAAGAATAGGAATTGCTGTCGGTGTCGCCGCGGGTGTTGTCCGTTTTAGAAAACTAGTCGCCTGCCCGACAGCGACCGTTGTCGAGGAGAGAGGTGGTCCGTCGCCGTGGCACCTCCTTGACTGTTCGCAGACACGTCGCAGAGGCATCGTCATCGTCATCTTTGTTGATGGTTTGATGCCGTTGGCGTTGTCGATCGTATTGTCACGTCGCATCGTCTGTTCGTTATGTTCCACCGTTTTCAATTGGATGGATTTGGGTGACCTGTCCTTCTTCCATTCCCTCGCCCTCAGGTGCTGCAGCTGGACCAGCTGCCGACGAAGGCTAACGACCTTAGGCGGCCTCGGCGCGGCCCTGCCCGCCTCATCCTAGCAGCATCGGCCTCCGCAGCCAGCCTCACCACCCAAGGGCTGTACGACTCTTCTCCAGTTCACCTCGGCGGCAGTCTCAGGCAAGATAGATCCATCGAAATGAAAAACGCGACATAACCATAAACTGTCGCGCGGAGTCCTCGAATCGGCGTTGGCCGGTCCACGAAATCCGCGCGGACGCTCGAAAGTTTCTGCCGCGTGCCATCCTCTGTTGCCGCCCACCCTGGAGGAGGAGGAGGAGGAGGAGGAGGACGACGACGGAAACGACAGACTGCGCTGTCGCATCCTGCCGGTAGCCTGTCGGCCCCGTGGCCAGAAGTGTTGTTGCAGCCGCCTGGAGCGTGCCGGCCAGTGCCTCGCAAGGAGCAAAGTTCAGCCAGCAGGATTTGGCCGGGCCGGACGAAAGGGTAGGATAGGGAAAAGGGGGTTACGACATCTGCTGCATGCAGCTGGTTTCGTCCCCGCTGTCGGGCCCATTCCTCGATAAATGGGCGCCTCCCGGCGCCTGGAAAACCAGCTACGAGAGCGCATTCTCTACCCTACACTTTGCTATCCTACCCTTCCGCCTCCCCCCCAGTATGAGCTGGCAGGGATGTCGTGATCCTCCCGCTCTGCGGCCTTTTCCGTTCTTCCTCGCTTCCTCCTTTTCCTGTTCGTTCCAGTTCCCTTTCAGGTTTAAGTCGGGCGTGTCCCTCTACAGGAGGTATATTCCAAGTAGTCAAAAAATGATATGGGGACGATGTTTTGACTATTCTTTACTCTTGTTTATAATGTTTGGACTATGTTTACTCTTTCGCCCAAAATCTGCCTGTTGGGGGACACGCCCGACCTAATTTCAGGTGCATGGTTCGTCCAGGCCGATGTATTCCTGGTGCAGCCATCGGGGGCAGCGCACGGCAGCGGAGGAGTGTCACAGCGGCTAGCCGCGAGCCAGGTGGGGTGGTGGCGCCAAGCTCAAGCTGTTCTCGGCGCACGACAATGGCTACGTCGGTAGGACGGGTGGATTTATTGCACGGAATCCCAGGAGTGCGAGCATTGCGTAGAGAAGAGAGTGAGTCGACCAGGGATAGACGTACGTACCAGTAGTGAGGTGTGAGGTGCAGGGGTGCATTATGCAAGGTTTGCCCAAATATTGATTGTGTTTTGTGAATTGTTTCCCCCCCTCCCCGGGGTGTCCAAAAGGAGGGTAGGGATTGGTATGGGAGGGGGTGTATATCATGGCCAGGGCCACGATCTCTCCCGGATTGCATGGCTCCCTCTTCTTCACGCCCCCTGCCCCCCCACCTGCCACCCTCGTCGGTGCACATGTTTCGGGCCATGAGACGCTACACCCCCTCGTCATGACTTCCCTCTTCGGCGCACCCGACCCCCCTGGAGACGGGGACGTGGCAAACGGGAGCACTGCAAGACCCACGGAGGAAAACGAAGCACTTGAGGTTGGGTTCGACCCCGTCTCTGTTGTTCGAATGCCCTTCCTTGATCTGACAGTGTCTCCGTTCAGTGGCCTGATGGCCGCGTGCATGTCATTTTCGTCGGGTTTCCCGTTCGGCGGCGAGCCTTGGGGAAGTGAGAAGGGGCGGGCCTTCTCAGAAGGCTCGGAAGTCCCCCGGCCTTCTGAGAAGTTTTCTGAGTTTCCCCCGAAGGCACAGAAAACTCAGAAGGCTGGAGGGCTTCTGAGAAGTACCGCCGTCTTTGAGAAGGCGTTCTCCTTCTCACTTCCCCCCCTCGCTCGCCGCCAACCCGTGTTTCGTGGTTCTGGCTGACTGTGTGTACCCTGGGCTGGATATGTCCTTGTGCTTTCCGGTGAAGCCCCAGCGAGCCCGAACGGAATGGGCACAGCTTCAGGAGGCGTTGGTTCGGGATCTTCCGCGACGTTGCGTGTTTTGTTGTTGTTGAAGCGTCGGATCTCAGGCAGGGCGCCTGTGTTTGTTTTACGCTGGTCGCCCCCCTCCCCGCCGCCGCTCCTTCCACTCCTTCCCCTCGCCCCCCCCCGGGCAATGCGTAATTAGCTAGCTCCATCGTACTTAACGACCATTCTAGAAATAATTTCGAGCGCCCAGAGAAGTGTCGAAACAGTGTCGAACGAGTATCGCCTCCAAGGGCCCGACACGTGAAAACCCTCCAGTTTCGGCACGTTCCTGGTGCTCGAAATTCTTCCTGGTGCTCAAGGCTAAAGTAGGTTAAACCATCATAATCTGGAGATAGGGAAAGGAGTATGGTATAAAGGGGTATGGTGCGAATTCGATGTAAAGGCGAATATGGCAGATCGCATCGCCATTTCCACGATTGGAACCATACCCCTATATGCCACACCCCTTTTCCAACCTCCAAACATCAGTCAGGAGGGAAAAAACACACAGACACAATGAACCGTCGATTCCCCATTCAATATGGGAAAATATGGGAAGTGTGGAGAAGACACATTACCAGAACGTGTGGGAAAATATGGGGAATCCTGTTATTTGTGTCTCTTTATCTGCGTGTCCCAGGGCCCCTTCAATAACGCAAGGCCCGCTCGCTTTGACGCTGAGCCGAGCCCCCCGCCCAGGCAGCAGGGGAGCCCCGCCCGGCCCCGCCCGGCCCCGCGCGGCGGGGGCTCGCGGCCCGCGCCCCCCCGCCGCGGCTGGCCGCGCCGCGGCGAGCGGCGGCGCCGCCTTGCGGGCCCGCCCGGCACGGGCGCGAGCGGGCAGCCCGTGCGCCGGCGAGAGGCCCTCCTCTGGCGGGGGTGGCCAAGCGGCGAGGGACGACTAATGTCGACTAGACTTGTGGGACTCGAGTGCTGAAGAGGAAGCATGCTGCCAAATCATTTCCAGATGTCTAAAACAATCAAGCATGTTTTATATGTGTACGAAACATGCTGAAAACACCTTTAGAAAAGTGCTACACATTTTAAACATTTTTATGATTCAATGTTGGGATTGTTAGAGTGTCCAGTGTCATGGCATCCACAAGGCAAGGGGCCCTCCTCCGTCGGGGGCGGCCAAGCGGCGACGGATGACTGATGTCGGTTCGACGTAAGAGTGACCCTTCGCCGGAGTGACCTTTGGTGCGGGCCCAATGGGGTCCCCCGATCGCCGAGCGCGATGCGATAGTAGCGAATGTTTGGTCGTCCCGCGGCCCCCACAGAACCGCGCACCAAAGGTCACTCTGACCCAGGGTCACTCTTGCGTGTAGCCGACTGAGGGGGGGGGGCATGATTAGGCCTCTTAGATGGGGTCGGAGTACATGGGGTCGGAGGATCGCGCCGCATCGCCGATGCATCGCCGATGCGGCTCGATGCGGAGCCCGAGTTTCTTCACGCGGACGTCGCCGATGCATCGCCGACGTCGCTGATGCATCGCCGGTGCATCGCCGATGCATCGCCGATGTATCGCCTATGCGGCGCGATCCTCCGACCCCATCTACTCCGACCCCTTCCAGGGGTTCTCTAATGATCTCTCCCCAGATTCCTTATTTCAATACGTCCCCGGCCCCCCTCCTGGGCGGCGCACGTGCCGCCTCCATTGATTTGAACCCCCACCCATTTTGGACGCCCCCCTCTTGGCCGCCCCTGGCTCAGGGTCGCCACTGCGAGGAGGTTCCTGGAACAGCACCGCAGCTCGCCGAAGTTCGCAGACACTGGACCGAGGCGAGTTGTGGAGGAGTTGCCCCGGCAGCTGCACGACGAGAGAGGGGGTGGAAGTGCGCACAATGTGGCGAGGAGGTTCCCAACATATATTTGTCATGCACATGTGGTGGCAGCTGGCAGAAGCAGCAGCAACACAGGCAACAACCCGACCTTCAGCAAGAACGCGACCACCTTCAATGAGGACGGCCAGGTGCTACCGAGCCAGTGCCGACCCAGCATCAGATGGAAGTGCGACCTTGGAGTCAGAAGGAGGAGAATGACCAGATGAAAGAGCGAACCAGATCTGCGATTGACCAGGTAATGATTGCACATGACGAAAATAAGATCCGCAACCAGCATTGGACGCAACCGCCAAAGAACGGTGCAGACACAGGAAAAGCTAAAGCAGAAGTGCCAAGACAAGCTTGACGGGTGTGGACAAGTCGACCTGTCGGCCACAAATGTTGGCGCGGACACGACGGCCACAGGAAGTCTTCGCCACCATCAAGCTCGCAGTGCTCCAAACGGAAAGCAAGCACGACTATGTCAAAGCGTTGCGGTACAAGAGGGAAGAAATCAATACCAATATCCAGAACCGAGAACGCACATCGAGGCTTTCAACTAAAAGCAGGAAAATAGCCAACAACAGCAGACGACGAAGACTACGGGGAGGCCGAAGAAGAGGATGACACCAAGCTCGAACATCCAGCGCGTACCGCATCCGGAAGGCCTCCTGCAGAAAAACACGGGAGGACCACGCCACGAGCGTCAAGAGCCCGGTCATTGGACATCCCACCGTTGGTGGAAAGAGTATTGCACACCACGACCGACATGAACGAACAGCTGCAGCGACAGATGGCAGCGATGGCCAACTATCAGAAGGAAGGACACGCCGAGCAGAAGAAGCACAAAAAGAGGAGCAGGTTGACGGAGTGCGGGGTGGAAGAGTGAAAAGTGGAGGTTCGCTACAAGGAGGGCGAACAGCAGTTGAAGACGCAATCTGCCAACCAGAGGACCAAGGGCAGAGACGCAGCAGCACTTCAAGCGGAGCCCCTACGACAACATGCCACAGAGCACAGACCGTAACCTTCAAGGAAATTCTTGCCGCCAAGAATCAAGATAATATCACCAAACACAAAAGACAATGAAACGAAACCGTGTGTGAAACGACCATGCAAAACAGGCGGAACACAGCTCACGACGCCCCTGGGAGGAAATACCACAATCACGACAAAGAGAGAGAGAGAGAAACTGTCGAGGCACTGGAAAAGACCTATTCGGAAGCTCGTGAACAGCAGGCAACATACCGTTCGCAAGCACGAGAGAATTTCGCCATGAAACAACAATTCGAAAGCGACAGAGAACGCCAGGAGTAATGCAGTGGGACAGAAACAGCTGGTGCTTCCCGGGCACTGCAGGCGCGGGGAAGCAACGCGCGCGCAGGCGCGCGCGGGGGTGCTCGGACAGGCGCGCCAGCTTTAATAACAAGCACCGGCGCACAGTGAACAAGCAGACCCGGAGCATTGGCAACAACCTGGGTATGCAGCAGCGCGGGCTATGGGTCACCAGCATCCAAT